GGTCTCGGTAAGTGTTATCAGCCTCAGCCTTTGTCTCGGCTGGTAACACCTAGCAGGAGCCCATGGCTCCTGACCTAGACCTTTGATTATTCCGGATATCACAAAATCTCATTCAATAGGTGTTCAATATATGCACTGGTTAACATGACCCTGTTTGGAAATATGATTAAAATTTGCATTGCAGTATTGCATGCTTCACGATTGACCAGGTGTGTACTTAAACTTGACTTTGCCCATGCCTGGAGAGGAAAATCTATAAATGACTACAATCGCACCTATTCACTATTTATGTGTTTTTGAGATGAGAGAAGATTGGAGATTGAAGAGAAGATTGGGGCGCGCGGGGATAAATAAATAGCGACTGGGTGCGAGTCTGGAGTAGTTGGCCGAGAGGGATTGGCGAAATAATTCCCAATCCTAACTTCCGCTTAATATTTACTTTGGTTTTTCTGGGTTTCAGTCCTCACTCCTACTCTTTTATTAACGCCACGGTTCGAATACCCGTTACCCGTTCACACTGCGACGAAGAGTTGCACAGAAACCTATCCGATATGAGACGATCCACTTTCTAGACCGGTGCAGCTCAATTGAAAGTGGCAAGATTGCTTGGATTAACGATGAAATTCTAGTTTCGATAAATATGGACAAAAGTTTCCTTTACTGTTTTAAAGGTACATCTCTGGATGTCGAAAATTGGTTTGAACAAGTTTTTGTTTTACTGAGTCATTTGGCTGCCAAGAGACCCGTGACACGGTTGTGGATCACTACCATGGTACTCCTTGAAAATATAATGGAATGAGTTTTTGGCGCCTTTATGCTTCTTATGACTTTGTATGGCGAAACGAGGTCAAATGGTTTTCATCAAACTTCTGCTTGAAAGTTGAGTTTTCTTACTTGAAAACCGAATTACCTAGCGGGATAATTTGATGACAGAATGTGAAAAACGTCCTAGAATCGAAAATGTTTAGCGCCGCTGATGGGGGAGTGGTTTGTTAATCAAATATTGATTATTCCAATTCAAGGAGAAGTTGTCTTAAAATTGTTTAAGGCATCGAAGAGATCAACAATCACAGTAAACATCTCGTTTTCTTCAGGTTTAATACAACATTACTTCTCTGAAGGTAACATCAGAAACTAAACATTGTATCGTGCAAAGCGTTGGGATCAAGTAGAAGCAGTTCAACAAGCCGACCTATAAGTCACCCCATGTAAGAGAATCCACGATAGTCTGGGATTCTGGATTCCACATCACGGATTACGGATTACAGGTACTCGATTCCAGTCTTTGTCAGTGGAACTCGGATTCTCAATTCCAATTGCTAGTGGGAGTCCGGATTCTTTGAACTGTACTCCGTACTCCAAAGCCCAGGATTCCGGATTTCACATGCAAATTTTTCCCAGATTCCAGATACCGTTACATGGGGCGGTATAAGGGATGAACCATTAGGAAACTAAAGGGGTTGGGTGGAATTTTTGGGAGGTCTATAAAAGTTTTCTTTTTACCCCTGAGGTGGAAATCTATTTTTCCTCTTCGAACAGCTTTCTTGATCATGGTGCGTGTGGAGATTTTTTTCTTACCAATGCGTTTGCCTTCCCCCAACATCCTATCCTTTTTTCTAATGGTGACATCGCTAAGTTAAAGCAGCTCCCTTAAATAACTGAGGGATGGCTAAAAGTCAATGGCCTAGAGAAAAGCAATCTAGAAGCAGTAAAAATAGGTCAGATTCTCGGTAGAATGCCAAAGCTCAGAACGTTGCTGTATACGGGTTCTGGAACTGATCTATTTGATTAAAAAGCCCAACTTTTACAACCTAGCACAATTACAACAAAACATCATTAAGTTATTGGAGCGTCCAAAATCTTTATCTAATCTCTTCCACTGTTTGGATACTTTAAAATCGGCATCAATTAAAGCTGTTGGACCACTAACGCAATAGTACACGAAAACGTTTTTTATGATTGAAATGACTCGCAGTAATATTAATTAAGAAACAAGATTAAGAGTTAAACCTAGTTTAACGGCAGAACAAATAGTCTACGAGTGCAGAGACAGAGGCCGATTCAGCTCTACAAGGAAGTGGTGGTGAGAAAATAGAGAAGGAAAATAAATCTTGTTTTCGGATGAAAATTAGATTCGGGCCCTTTTTCCTTTGTTTGCAGGCATAGAAGGACTATCTGGCAACGCTTTTCCTAAAAAAGGGTTATTAAAATAAGGCAAAAGTCACTCTAATGATTCTTAGACGGTCTAATTCGCCAGCGGTCACTCGCTCTCGTCTCTGCGCAGGATATTCAATGTATCGTCCAAAACTTACTCTTAAAACTACGAGCATATTCATTCCCAAACATGGAAGTCAAAATGTTTACTCTTTGTATGAAACGCTAATAATTTATCCATATAAGTTAAACTCGCCCCTGGAATCCCATTTTACTTGAATTTAAAAGCAGTTTTAATTAAGTGACACAATGTGTGTCCCAATTTATAACATCAGTACAGAATGCAGACTGCTCTCAGTGCAAAACATTGTTTTCACAATGCAAATGGGAACGTGACAACAATAGTCTCATTGACAAATTCATATGAAATAAATCATACATGAGAACTGCGGAAATGAAATCAAATGAAGAATGATCCTCGCAGTTGTGAACGCAATTTATGCAATAATTGCGTAAGAAGGCTGAAAAAAAAAAAATTCAGGACTTCAACGGGATTTGGATCCGTGACCTCGCGATACTGGTGCGACGCTCTAACTGAATTAAGCTATGAAGCCAATGATAGTTCCATTGTTTTCTAACCCTGAAAACAATGGTCTGCAGTCTGCATTTTGTACTGTCCACCAATTTATACATGAAGGATCAACAAGACATGAACATATTCATTTTTTTATATAAAATAATAACTAGTTCTGGGAAACTGGGGATCAATCATAGAAAACCTAATACACCCTTTTAACCTTAAACCACTGAACTGTGACCAAAATACTTACAGTGCATACTTAAAATTTTAAAAATTATCTGATTAAAATCTGAATCATTCTACTGAAACCACGGCCACGCTTGTAAATAGTCAATTGGTTCTTCTCCGTCCCGTTGAAATTCTTAACACTTGGACGTACAAGGGGGGTGCCTTCCCACCTCTGAGGTTTTTTAGATTTTTTTAGACGATGAAACATCAGCACCTGACGTTTTCAGTAGCTGTTCGTTTATTCCTCGCGCGCATTTTTGACGAAAGTTTAGTGAGGGTCAGTTACTATGGTTACGAGATATGACGTCATAAGTGGCAGGTGGTCAAGCCATTTTTGAGTGAAAATGCATGTTCTTTCACCTTTTTTGAACAATAAAAGTAAAACTTGTCAATGAATGATGCAAAGGGCTCATTTATGTCTTACTTTACATGTGAAGCACAGAAAATTACCATTTATCGCGATTTTAACTTGATTTCTGATTCTTGGTAAAATCCAAGATGGCGGTCAAGACGGCGACCATTGTTGGTGAAGTCACAGGCCTCCAGCAGCATCACCACGCATAAAATATACCTCATCTTGCTGAGTAGATCAAAGCCTTTCCACTTACGGCAAAATCGTTTCGAAATACTGCAACATATCAAAAACTCTGTTGAGGGGTTCTATCCACCCCCCCCCCTGCCCCTTGTACCACGGTGGTGGTATGAATTTGCGTGTACGTCCGAGGATTAACCCTGTTAAATTAATTTGAATTATTTGTTTCAGTCATTTGCTTTAAAGCCGAGGGGAAAAAACTGAAAAGGAATTGTTAAGATTATGATGATGGTGATTATTATTATCATCAATATTACGATTATTACAACGCAATTTTCCTTTGCCAAATTACAATTTGCCGGTTAAGGCAGGTTACACGAGAAAAGGGGCAATCATCCATACTACTACTCAGTCAGTTTCGCGGGAGTAACGAAATACTTGTAAACAACGTTAAGTTCTTTCCCCACGAAAATTCTCTGTCTTTTATCTAAGTTATAATTAATAAGTGTAGCCGTGGCTGATTTAAAAACGTTTTTTTGATGAGTATTTATTAGAGAGATTTAGAGTTACGTTTACGGCAAAGCGTGGATTTGTACCACGTGACCAAGTGTTCCCTTTACTTCTCGTTTGCTGTTAATTAAATCTACAAAAAATTATTAGCTTTAAATTAGTTTTATCCATAAGAATTGCTTTGAGCTGTATTCATTTTATCTGCATATTTTCTATTTTGAGAAACTCTTAACTTGAATTTGCTGACGTTTGCCGTTCGCCGTTAGCGTCGTTCTAAATCTCTCTAATATATTCTGAAAAAATGACTAAAATGAAAACACGCTTTTTTATCAAACGTCCCATTGAGGACATTCCTCTATTAAATAACGAACTGCTTTCTTTGGGGAAATCCAGATACATAAACGCTATTTCAGCAGTTGTGTTGACATCAAACTTTCAGCTCATCCCTGTAAAAAAAGTAACAATTGAGGCATATCATTAATTCACATTTTTTAAAATTAAATTAACATCAAAGCGGTAAATTTTAGGATGCCTTAAATGATGATGTTAAAAATGGCAAAATGAGAAACATTTGTCATATTACACATATTTGTTTTTCATGAGGCTATTAATTATTGGTCAACATATAGAGCTAGTACTATAAAAAATTTAAGGCAGCTTATAGCAAAATGTATCTTTCACATATATTGCCCCTAAATTAACTAAGAATTGAGAAAAGTGACGGTGATCTAGTGTTCGAATGTTTTCTAAAAGATTTGCTTGGTAGGAATAACATGTGATTGTGTGAATCCATTAACGGTAAATAATTAGCTCACCTATCCTTATTGTGTATATATTTCTCTTTTTTTGCCCGTTATTATATCAAATCTGCCAATGTTCTTACATTTCGAGTTGAAAATAATGGTTCTGACTTTTCTTCTTGAGCCTTCTATTTCTAGGACCCTTAATAAAGAAAAGCAAGAAAAAAGTAATAAAAACTCTCTACTTACGATTTCCTCAATGTTTTTCCTTCAATTCAATCTTAACATCATCACCAATCAGAACAAATGGAGCCCAGTACTTCGGGGCAGAAAAATCGTGGGAGTCTCGAAGACATTTCATGGCCCTCTGAAGAGCAACACTTGCACTTTCTCCACTTCCAAGTTGTTGGTAGAAAGACTTCATAAACATCATTGTGGCTTTGTCATCAATTTCCCAAAGTGTCGCCAGCACGGAACGAGCACCAGCAAACAAGAAAGCACGTGCCATACCGACCACACCCTCAGACGATACCTTTCCTTGACCACTGTAGCTGCAACTAAGCACAACAAGCCTTGCTCTCAGCTTCACAGCTTGTATATCAGACATTTTCAAAATACAGTCCTCCTCCGTAGGAATCTTGGATTCCCCTGGAGCCAAAACAATTTCTCCAGTTTCCTTCCTTCCGTGGGCTGCGATGTGAACCAAAGCAACTGACGCTATTCTCTGAAGTACCGCTTCTTTGGTTGCATATTCACCTGTTAAAGTTTGACTCTTTAGAATTTCTCCAATCATCTCCACTTCCATTCTTGCGTACTTCAGAGGATCATAAATGGGGTTCCCCCATTTATCTGTAATTTTCTTCAAGCATGGATCTCCAACAAGCAGGGCTCCACTTTTACTGTGGTATTCAATTGGAGAATCTGTGATGAATTCCAAACTTCTCAGTGAGGGAACCATACGGATCCTTAACGATTCTCTAAAGGCTGCCCAGGGAGCTACGCACAAAGCACCATCGGGGACTACAATAAGTTCATCACCATCAAGCAAGTCTTCAATAGGACCAAGAACTGCATCATACAATGGCTGTAAAAAGTCGGTGGTCTCCTGTGATGGCTCTGATGTTTGATTGTCGTCTCGAGTACTTGAGGGAGTTGAGTCATTACTCAGCTTATCCATTGACCGATTTTCATCAGGAACTACAATTAGGTCATCACCATCAAGCAAGTCTTCAATGGGACCAATAGCTGCATCATATAATGGCTGATTTTCGCACCTAATACCGACGCCAGACCCAATTTTTTTCAAAACGGTTTCTAGAAGGAGAACAAAAGAGTCATCGTCTTCACTTCCAATATCCAGCCTCTTTCGCCTACAAATAGGCTTGCCTTCTTTTCGTAATACCCACATATTGACTGTTTTCTTTTGCAGAGCAAGGAAAACTGTTGAAACAGTTGTCTTCCTTGAAATATTTCTGACTTCTTCTTCAGATTCAATTGACCTGGGAGAAAGTGACGTCAGGCCATAAGTTACTTTTAAGGCATCGAGCAAAGCCTGTGCTCGTCCCCTCTCAGCAGCGTATAAAGCCTCGTCATTCCTTTCAAGCATTACTAAAACTTGCCATAAAAGAGTATAGGCACATTGATGACGCGTACAGAAACTTATTTTCAATTGATCTTCCGAGATAGAATTGGCTCTAATAGTGTCATAGATTTTAACACAGCATCTAAAATGTTCTAAAGCCTCATTCAAAGAATGTGATGCGCAAAAAGAGTGACCCAGACCTTCATGTGCACATGCTTCTGCTATTCTGTCACCGATTTCCTCGGCAATGCGGAGATGTTGTTTGTAACACTCTATTGCTTCCTTCATGTCGTGGAGATTTCTATAACAATTTCCGAGGCGGCAATAGGCACTTCCTTGTCCATCCCTGTCACCGATTTCCTCGGCATTGCTCAGGCATTGCTTGAAGTACTCCATTGCTCGTGGCACGTCGCCAAGGGATCTATGAACGTCGCCGATCTTTAAATAGGCACGTCCTTTTCCTTTTCTGTCACCGACTTCCTTGGCAATGCTCAAGTGTTTCTTGTGGCACTCCATTGCTCGTCGGAATTCTCTAAGGCTGTGATAAGTAGTGCCGAGATAGGAATAGGCTATGCCTTCCCCTGCCCTGTTGCCAACTTCCTTGGCAATGATGAGGCATTCATTGGTGTACTCTATTGCTCGTTGGTATTCGCCGAGAAGTAAATAAATATTGCCGAGATTGCCATAGCCTTGCTCTTGCCCTGCCCTGTCACCAACTTCCTTGGCAATGTTGAGGTATTTATTGTTGTACTCTATTGCTCTTTGGAATTCATTAAGGCTGTGATAAGCAAGGCCGAGATTGCCATAGGCTTTGCCTTGCCCTGCCCTGTCACCAACTTCCTTGGCAATGATGAGGTATTTATTGTTGTACTCTATTGCTCTTTGGAATTCATTAAGGCTGTGATAAGCAAGGCCGAGATTGGCATAGGCTTTGCCTTGCCCTGCCCTGTCACCAACTTCCTTGGCAATGTTGAGGTATTTATTGTTGTACTCTATTGCTCTTTGGAATTCATTAAGGCTGTGATAAGCAAGGCCGAGATTGCCATAGGCTTTGCCTTCCCCTTCCCTGTCACCAACTTCCTTGGCAATGCTAAGGTGTTGATTGTGGTACTCTATTGCTCGTTGGAATTCGCTGACGGAGTCATAAGCACAGCCTAGATTGCCATAGGCACATCCCTCACCTGCCCTGTCACCAACTTCCTTGGCAATGCTGAGGTGTTGATTGTGGTACTCTATTGCTTGATGGAAGTCCCCGAAGGAGTAGTAAGCTCTGCCTAGATTGCAGTAGGCATCTGCTTTCTCTGCCGTGTTTTTATTGATTTGCGCTTTTGTAAGACGCTTTTTTTGTTCAGCTATATCTTGTAGTATACTTTCTGCCATTTCGAAGTTTTAGTATTAAAACTTGGAACTGTTTCTTGCGAACAAGGTTTCTTTAGAGGTGCGTGGAGGTGGAGAAAAAGCAAAATAATTGTCGTTAGTATATTTGAAGTCTTTTGAAATACTTTGTCACCATTCAGGCAGATAAGACATGATAGAACTTTCCACTTCTTCCTCCCTATAGATTTCTAACAGACGCATCTCTGGAATTGTTCCGTCTGTTTTGACTCTGTTTTTACACAATATTTCATTCAGAATCTCTTGAAACTTTTTTCTATAAATAAAAATGAAAATACTTTTTAAAAATCATTTATGTGTACTCTGCGTAAGGATTCAGACACAACTAATCATTTTTTGAACTCCTGTGATACCAAATGAAAATAGATGAAAATATAAATAAGTATTCGTCACTTTCAAAAAAGATGCGCGAAATTTCTATCCCCGTTGTGCACACTATCAAAAGGAAAAATTGATACAGGGCGCGCGTTTGGTCAATAAAGGCGGGAAAAATTAGCAAAAATTGAAACAAACAAACATCCGGCAAAGAGCACGAAAAAAATTGCACAATTCCCGAAAGAAAAGAAATAAGTTTTGACACCTCGTTTATTCAGTCATTCAACATTAAGTTCAAGTTTAAGTCGCTAAGAAATGGTCATATTTTTTTTTGTTTTGCTTCTGATAATTTATTTTGAACTGTCCACAGAGACGAAAGAATTAATTATTACTCTGTCTGAATCCGTGAAAAACAAAGCGGAACTGTCAAGAATGTTGAACATTCCAAGAACGACTATCACGAGCGTTCTAAGCAAGTACCGAAGGACTGGCACAGTGGAGACTATGACGCGAAGTGGCAGGAAAACTGAGGAGCTTCACAAACAGAGACAGAAATGCTTTAAAGCGTTTGGTTAAAAGTAACAGACGACTTACCGTACAGGACATTACTGCAAAGCTAAACCAGTGCAAAACAAAGACTTTCAGCTAGAAAGCCGTGCAAAGGGTGTTGCATTCGGGAGGATATAAAACAGGGGCACCCAACGACAATTTTCGGAAAATATCTGTTCGGAAGACGATTTGAGATCTAGAATTTTACGAACATTTGTTGTAAAATTTCTTGTTTGCCTGCCTCTCCTAGGATTTTCGAACATCTAAAAAATGATATAATTGCCCATTTTTAACGGATTTTTACCCCTAAAAGGTCACCTAGGATTTTCGGGAGCCTTTTTTCTGGCTGAAACTTTCGAAAAGGAAAGTTTTGATCCCTATAATTTTCGGGTCACTAGACTTTCCGCTAGGAAATCCGAACAGATGAAAAATTTTTAGGGGATAAAAATATGCCTATATCTACCGTTTAAATACTAAAATACGTTTAACAATGCTATGTTTAAGTGGTTTTGAACCATATTCTCGTTGGGTGCCCCTGATAAAAGAAGGTTAGCGAAGAAATGGTGGTTCGGGAAGCAAATAAAAAAAGTGAGTCAAGTGTTGTAAAGAGCGAAGAGGTCGAACAGTAGACAACTACTGGGAAAAAGTAGTGTTTTCAGATGAAAGTCAGATCGTGCTCGGTACAAACAATCGTGTTTACATTTGGCGAAAAGACGACGAAAAGTACAACCCACATCTTAGTTGTTCTCGCTCTGAACGGAAGATAAGTTTGATGATCTGGTGATGTATTTGTTATGATGGTGTTGGAACTCTGACTGCAGTTGAAGGCAACATCAACTCTGCCAAGTACATTGACTTCCTAAACAAGAACTTATGGCCACTAGTTGTATGGATGACAATGCGCCTGTTCAGAGAGGCCACACTATAAAAAATGATAAAGATCATAACGAAGTAACCTCAAAGGAATGGCCAGCACAATCACTAGATTTAAAAAAAATACAAAATATCTGGCTCTGCTTGAAGAGAGAGCTACAAAAGTCCGCGGTAGATATCCTAACCAAAAATGATCTCTGCGTGAAATCCAGAGCGTGTGGCTGAACATTGAATTGGATTATATAAGAAACCTTTACGAGTCATACCTGATCGCGTAGACAATGTAATTCAAATGAAGGGTCATCTTACTAAATATTAAGGTGATTTTAAAGTTAGATTTGCGAAAATGGTGTTAAAACTAGCGCGCGTAAAATGTAAACAAACGACGCCATATTGGAAGTGACGAATACTTAGTTATATTCCTAGACTTTCACTCAACTAAACAGGGACTGCCATTGGTTGATTCTTGGTCACGTGGTCTTGACTAAAAACAAATGTATCCCGATCGTGATACATCAAACAATGTATCCCGCTCGGGATACATTGCGGCACGTGATCAAAGCATGGTGGAAAGTGGCATGACAAAAGGCGGCAAAAACACCGCCAGGTCCTGCCAGTTTTCTTTTTCGTGAATGCACACAACAACACAATCACGAAGCCTCAAGCTAAAAAGCAACGATTTTTAAAGTTATCCCAGAAGTTCCCAGAAGAAAAACAGCAGCTAGTGGAGGAAAAAGATGCAGATAATATAAGGAAAGTACTTTTGTTTGTAAATCATTCATTCAGTGGTTTTGAGAATTAAATTTGTGTTGTTATAAGTACCGAGTCGACTGTTTTGGTTCGCTCCGGTTATTCTTTTGTTGCTGTTGAAGTGAAAGTCTAGAAATATAACAAAATACTTAATGTCAGGTCCCTCGGGAAACCAGTTAGTTTTG